CAGTGACAGTGAGTGAGTGCCTGACATAAAAATATATTCCTCCACCTTGCTGGCTAGTCCTGTCATATCTAAGTATAGAGTAGCCAGGTATTGCAACTAGGGCATCGCTTATAGTGTCATTGAGCCAAGTTTCAGTAATGGCTAATACATCTAGGTTATAATTATGCAAAACGAGGTGGACTTCTTCAACTTTGTTCCTGAGGCTGCAAATGTTGAGGGTTCCTACATTAAGGCTAGTGTGGGGTAACTTACAAGTGTTTGATGGAGGAGGAGGGGAGAGTGGTGGCTGCACGCCTGTGGCTGTAGACCGGTTAGAAGCTGCCCTTGCGTCTGCGGATCCGCTTGAGGAGGTTTTCGACCTCTTTCGCACTGACTTCGTTAGCCCACGTGACCTGTGGGTCTGTGTCGTTGTTCTGGCATTCCGAGGTGGCACTGTTACCTGGGCGAAAGGAGTTCTTTCCGCTCTTCACTGGAGTAAAGCCATCGTCTTCAGTGTCTGGTGATGGGTGTGTGGTTTTCCCCTGGAGGTGGCCAGAGCAGTTGTCGGCGTGACTGGGGTGCAGGCGACTGTGTTGGCGGCTGGCGACGCTGCTGGCTTCGCTGGGGTCAAGCTTGTGTGCGGTACTGCGGCTGCGACCACCTCAGTGCTGGCAGGTGGTGCGCGTGCGGTTGGACTTTGCAGGGCTTGACTGTACGTGTTTGGTGGTGGTACCTCAGTGCTGGCAGGTGGTGCGCGTGCGGTTGGACTTTGCAGGGCTTGACTGTACGTGTTTGGTGGTGGTACAGCTACAACTACCTCCGTGCTGGCAGACGGGCCTTGACTGCACGCCTCCCCAGCTGGTGGCGGTGTGCATGTCGTGGATGTCTCAACTACCTCCGTGCTGCCAGACGGGCCTTGACTGCACGCCTCCCCAGCTGGTGGTGGTGGGGCTCGCCCTGTACGGGGTGGTGCACGTGCGTTTATGCCCTTATTTGGGCATTGTGCTGCGAGGTGGTCAGGGTTGTTGCACACATTGCAAGTACGCACCTGGCCATCGTAGCGTACGCGTACAGTCAGCCCGCCCTGGGTTTTTATGACGGACGGGATGTGGGTGCCTTTGTTTAGCTTGAAGGTCAAATGTCGTATACCCGTAGCAACTCTCAAGCCAGATTTCGTGACAATGTGCCCATGCCGTACTCCCTGCGTGCCTGCGCATGTCCCGTACCCCGCCAAACAGAAAATGAGATCTTGGTCAGAGACCCAGATTGGTGCATCCAAGACTCTGATTTCAACCAGGGGTTCCGTGAAAAAATGGACAAGAATGGCGGTTCCGTCCAACTCAATGCCGTGATCTGCCATGGCCATCGCACTCTCGTTGGACAGGAAAGTTACAATGCATCGACTATTTGCACTTATCTGTACCGATAGGAGGTCATCATAGCCGGAGGCCGCGATCGCCTCAGCCACATCCAAGATTTTGATGTTCCGGGGGCAGACAAACTTCACGGAGTTCTGCTTCAGCTGTTCAGCAGGCACATCTTTCCAGACCGGAAACATTTCCTCGTTGTTCATTTCCTGATTCCTGATAGACTGGACTTATGACATATGAAATTGGCAGGCAAAACGATTAAGGAAAAAACACACTACAGAGGAGCGTCAAAAACTGCATCCGACTTGTAAACGTGTGGAACAGAGCAGACCACTGGCATTAGGCCTTGGCGGATAATGCTCGAAAAGGTGGCAGATTCTGCTTTTTTTGCACCGAAATTGGCAGAACCATACAAACCTTATGTTGGGCAATTCCTCGAATTCTGCTCCATTTCTTTATCCCCATACCAAACATGCATGAAACTTACCAGAAAAAGTACCGAATTCTGCCAATTTTTCTGCCGGCATTACCCGCCAAGCCCTAATTGGCATGGATTCGTGATGGATTGGTTTATCGCGAATCTGATTTCCCGAAGAATCTTGGTGATTTTACCACCCTTGTCAATGATGCGGTGGAAGAATCCATTCATGTACCAGTGAAACTTGGAGTAAAGTTAGTTGCCGAACACAAAGGGATTGATGCCATCGAAGATTTCTACGCCGGAGATATTCTACATTCCAACATTGGTGCAGAAAATGTTATCGAGGAAACGAACTACATCACCAAAATCTTTTCCGGTCCATGGGATACCTTGGATGCAAAGGCAAGATTATTTCACAAAGGTCTTCGTGCATACTTTCCCGATCAACTCTCTCAAGGGTTTGATGCGCTTGGATTATCACAAGATCTTATCACTCCAGTTCCTGACATTGTCAAGGTGAGAAAACCAAGAGCTAAGAAATCTGGATAAAAAAAAGATTCGTTCCGCCAAGAACAATCACACAGTTCACGATACCGATGAAAATTAGGACAATAAGGACGCTCCGTTCCTCATCATTTTCCCATTGGTGATACAGCTCGGACTCAGACTAACCCGAGATTTGCAGGACAAACAATTCCCGCTCACCCCTTGGCTGGCACTTCTCTTTCTTTGGCTTGCTCGCTTCATCTTTTCTTGTTCCAACTTTTCTTCTACCTATCATTATGCGAGAAGAGAAGAAGAGAAGAGACAGAGGAGTCTGTTGCTGTACTTGGCTGGTATGCCAGTACAGGAGAAATTCGAAACGCTAACAGAAGATGAGGACACCGACAATTTATTCGAGCGAGCTGTGATTGCTTTGGACAAGCTTTTGAGTTCGTGGCCAACAAGAGGTTCGAACGTCGAACGTCGAATATCGGAAAATGACTTCAGAAAGAAATTGTTAGAAGTCGACGACCTCACTTTGGCGGTGGCCTTGAAAAAAGGTCGCGAGTATGAAACAACGGAGCAGCACGCACGTGATATGTCAACATCGGCAAGTGCAAGTCACAGTGCAAGCCATGATGGGCATGGGTCCAGTTCGTACGGTACGGGTGAAGCTGCGCCAGCAAAGGCAAGTTTGTACAGAAAAGAAAATCACTCGGCAAATCAAATTCAAGATGTCAGGCCTCTATCGATGTCAGCCTCAATGGTGTGTCGACGCGATTGCTAGTCGATTCTGGAGCATCATGCAACTTGTTGGGAGAATCGACTTTGGGCCAGCTGCAATTGCAAGGCCTCGGTGTCACTTTGACGAAGTGCACCAGGAAGCTTTTCGCGTATGGAGCACACCAGCTGAATGTAGTCGGCAAGTTTACTGCGATTTTCCAATGCGGCTCAGAGCGCACTGAGGACGAAGTGATCGTCGTCAGAGGAGATGGAGAGTTGTTGCTGGGACGTAGTACTGCACTCAAGTTCAAGGCCTTGGTGCTACCTGACGTGAATCAAGTTGGCAGCGCCACAGCTAGCCCCAGTATCAACGATGAAATCAAGAATGAGTATCCTGGTGTGTTCAGTGGTGTGAGCAAGTTAATTGGCTACCAAGCACGTCTTCATGTAGACTCTGAAGTTCCACCTGTGGCCCAACGCCAGCGTAGGATACCATAATTATGCGTATGAAACCAAGGTGGATGAAAACTTCAGGAGTTACAGCAAGCAGGAATTATTGAAGAAGCTGTGGGCCCGACGCCGTGGGTAAGCCCAATTGTGATAGCACCAAAGAAGCATGGCGACATCCGTTTGTGCGTGGATTTACGCCGGGTCAATGAAGCCATCGTCCGAGAACGACATCCAATGCCAACAACAGAGGAGCTGCTGCATGAAGTCAATGGCAGCACGGTGTTTTCGAAGATTGACCTGAAGTGGGGATTTCACCAAGTAGAGTTGGAAGAAGAGTCCCGCTACCTGACAACTTTTGCTGCAAATGGGAAGTTGTACCGGTTTCATCGACTGCCATTTGGTATAAGTTCAGCACCAGAGCTGTACCAGAAGATCATCAGCGATATGATCAAGGATTTGGCCGGTTGCAGAAACGGAGCTGATGATATCTTGCTACATGCGGACTCACTGAACCAGCATGATGTGAGGGTTCATGTATTGATGAATCGCTTGAAGCAGGTCAACCTCACAGTCAACCCAGCAAAGTGTGAGTTCGCTAAGAGCTCCATTGAGTTCTTCGGCTTGCAGATATCTGACAAGGGCATACAGCCAACTCCTGAAAGGATACGATCCTTGGCGGAAGCATCCAGGCCGAGCAATGCGTCGGAAGTAAGAAGCTTCCTCCGTACAGCCGGTTTCAGTGCAAAATTCATCCCTGATTTTGCTACAGTTGCTGAGCCACTGCGTCGCCTCACGGTCAAGGGAGCTCATTTCAAGTGGACTACAGAGCTACAGCAAGCATTCGACCACCTGAAGCGACTACTGGTGTCCAGCTCAACACTGGCATACTATGATGCTGAAGCGCCGATCGAGTTAGTGACGGATGCCAGCCCAGTTGGGCTCGGAGCTGTGCTTGTCCAGAAGCAGGATGGTGTTTGGCGGCCAGTTGCGTATGCGAGCAGATCACTGTCAGCGGTAGAGCATAGATACTCGCAGACTGAGCGAGAGGCTCTTGGTATTGTCTGGGCGTGTGAACGATTTCACACCTATCTGCTAGGCAGGGAGTTTACACTCTGCACCGACCATAAGCCGCTGGAAGTGATTTATTCGGCAAGGTCCAAGCCCAGTGCCAGGATCGAGAGATGGGTCCTGCGCCTACAGCCGTACAGCTATTGAGTCAAGCACATTCCTGGAAAGACGAACATCGCTGACGCTTTATCTTGCCTGCCCGTTGCAGCGGCGGATCCAGAAATCAGCAGTGATGAAGAGTCGGTTAGACTTATCACTCAGACAGCAGCACCCATCGCTATCGGTATCAGAACGATGAACGTAGCTCAGCTGAAGATGAAGAGCTATCTGCTGTTCGCAAGTGCCTTCACGACGGATCTTGGGATGGTCTGCCAGCAGCATACCGTCAGGTCCGAGGAGAATTGACTATTGTCGGCAAGGTGGTGCTCAGAGGTCGACGCATTGCTATCCCTACAGAGTTGCGACACCAGACCGTGCAGTTGGCACATGAGGGCCACCAGGGCATCATGAAGACGAAAGAGCGTCTACGGTCCAAGGTTTGGTGGCCAGGCATGGATAGCGAGGCCGAGAAGCTCTGCAAGTCGTGTCATGCCTGCCAAGTGGTTGCAGCGCCAGCCAATGCACCGCCAGTCAAGTCCACTCCTCTTCCAGATGCGCCATGGCAGCATTTGGCTGTTGACTTGCTGGTTCCACTACCGTCTGGAGAGCACATTGTGGTGCTTGTGGATTACTACAGTCGATATTTCGAAGTAGATGTGTTCAAGTCAATCTCAGCTGAAGCTGTGATTCCGATGATCGAAGCCCAGTTCAGCCGACACGGTATCCCGACGAGTTTGCGTACGGATAATTGCCCACCTTTCAACTCGGAAGGGTTTGCGAAGTTTCTACATGAGTGTGGTGTTCAACAGCTTCGTACTACACCACTGTGGCCGAGAGCTAACGGTGAAGTTGAGCGACAAAATCGATCCCTGATGAAAGTGATTCGTGCTGCATATGCGGAAGGAAAGACGTGGAAGCGGGAGGTTCAACGATTTTTGATGGCATACCGCTCAATGCCACATACAACCACTGGAGTTGCTCCAGATGATTTATTGCTTGGGCGCAAAGTGCACTGCAAGTTACCAGCCCTCCGTGAACCAGCGACAAACGAGGCCGTCAGAGATCGTGACAGCGAGCGTACGCAGAGTATGCGTGACTCTGCAAATGACGCCAACCATGCCACAAGCCAGTCAACGCAGATAGGTGACTCAGTACTGCTAAAGCGTTCGGAGACATGGTCGAAGGTCGACACACCATTCCATCACCAACCTCATGTGGTGGTTAGTCGGAATGGGGACCAAGTAGTGGTTCAGGCACCGGATGGGAAGCTTGTGCGGAGGAGCGTACAGTTCACCAAACCATTCCGGCAGCAGCATCCAGCTGAACCTAGCCCCGAAGTGCAAGAGGCACCCCAGCATCGTGCGGAGCCCCGCAGGTCAGACAGGTTAAGCGTGAAATGCTAAGGAACCTGTACGGCCCTTGGTCTGTTCTGCATTGTCTAGGCTGTGTGACAGTTGTGTTTGACTGGTCGTTCGGCTAACAATGTATGAGCTTGCATTATACTGTATATTTACATATTTTATGAAATGGATTGATAGAACGCTTTTGGTTATTCGTCGCGTTTTGGACAGCCTATTTTGGTTTATTTAGTTTGTTGAAATGCTACGTTGAAGTTTGCTATGGTCAGTATTTCTATGGACTGTAGTTGTAGACTTTCGAGAAAAGGAGGAATGTGATGTTGCAAGCCTCCTGGTTAATACTATATTATAGTATTGTACTATTATAGTATCTTGTACGATATTTATATGTGTATCTGTTTTGTTCCTTTTTTCTGTGCTTTATGTTCCTGGTTCTTGGTCTTTAGTTTTGTCTTTGTTAGTGCTTTGGTTTGACCAGTACCGTAATAATAATATTGTCCCAGAACATTACAAGGCCTACGAAATGTCAATCGAATGGTGTTGATGTAACCCTGTAACTTACTCACCATCTTTTGCAGAAATTTCTTACGAATGATTCCGTTCAGGGTGGACAACCTTCGGTCTTTCGACAACTCGAGAATCATAACCAACCGAGATTGTAGTTCGTTTGCGAGAGAGGATGCAACTTCGGGTGAGTCTGTACTTCCGTAGGCCGCAACAAACTTCTTTGCAATCAGTGGTAGCTCCTCGATCATTCCAACCAATCTACTTGCTTCCATGCTCTGTTTTGGATTAGTTTTGTCAGCAATGACATCTCTGAAATCTTTCGGAAGATTCCCGTCAAGAAATAAGTTTGCAAAGGTCTGGAATTGTTTCATGTCTGTTTGGGTGAAAAACGGGCTAAGGGTTCGTGCGGAATCAACAGACTCCTGCTCTGTATCCTGAGTCTCGCCTTGGAAAGTCTCAGATTTCTCTGGATTTCCCTTGCTCTTTGATTTCTTTCCAACCTTCTTCTTTGTCATTCGTTGTTTCGTTACAATCTCCGCCTTTGTCGGGATGGAACTGATTGCCAACTCTTCCCTATTCCTTCTTCTCTGTGCGGTTAACTCCCTTTGTTCTTCCAATCTTTTCCACAACTCTTCTTCCGGGAGTTCACTCTACGCTTCGAGATCTTTCGGGTCAATTTTTAGGAAACTCATGGTTTATCCTTACTGTATACTTCATCTTTTTTTTTTCGAAATCTCAGAAAAGGTTTGGAATGGTTGTCAATCACACCAAAATCATGGTTGTTCACACAACATTTCACATAATAATCTCGGAATTCATCTTTTGTCAATGGTCCCCTCAAGGCTTTTCCGATATTACTCACATCCCTTTCATCAAGCCCCGAGAAAAGAATGGTACAACCCGTGTTTCGTCGAATGTACAATGGAACATCGAAATATGATTGCGCAAGATAGATCCAATTGCATTTTCTAGTTCTCGAGAGGGAGAAATACACACTCACCATATCCATGGATTTCTTGTTGAGACGAATATCATCAAACACAATCACTGATTGGTCGGACAGATCACTGTTATTTTCGGTGACGGGAACAACATCATCTGGTGGCAATACCGTGAGAGATCCTGGCTCTATCTCATTCGCTATCCTCTCCATCGATTGATATTTCTTCTGGTTGGGGTTGTTGGTATACACTACACACTTATCATAATCCAATCCCCACTCCTCCAGCAATAGGTTCGCGAGCAGATTTGTTTTCCCAGCGCCTGTCCTTCCGATGATAAGGTAGTGGCAATTCGGTAATAACAGGTTGCTTTATGGTGATTTCTCACCCTTCTTGTCAAAGAAATCATGGATATGCATAGTTTCAAGGATTTTTGATAACCTCCTTTCATAGATCGTAGAAAGAAAAAGTTTCACGAGATAAAATAAATGTCTGGAATCAATCGTTTTGGTAATAGTTCCCAAACAAATAATAGCGGTGGTTCATCCACCATTTCGAGTACTAGCATTAACTTATCCAATATTGCAGCATCCTCGAGGTTGGGAATATCAGCAACGGGAAAATTATTTGTCAATCCTGATGATAGTATGATTGTTGACACCTCAGGGGTTGGCGTAAAGTTCGATCCTTTGTCCTCGGGATTGCGAAAAGATCTTCATGGGCTGTCCATTGTGAAACCACTATCCACATCCATGGTGAGTTACACTGACATCGACGGGCTTGACGTGAAATTCGGTACTCTCTCATCCGTGGAGAATGGGCTTTGTAGATTTCCAACTGGTCTTGGTGTAATGCTGAACAAATATGGTGGGTTGGAAATGGACGCCTCAGCGCTGATGCAGATAAAACTAGAAAACAAACCAACAAACGCTCTGAGCCTGACATCCACGGGATTGTTCTGCTACTAGTATCCGAGTCAGATCGGTGGGATTATGACAATCTATGCAACTGTGGGTGATGGATTATGGCCAGATCGACAACTTTCCCTAAGACTTCCAAGCGGTTCTGGGCTGAGCATGGATGTTTACGGTGTGAAAGCGTCGGTTGACGGAGCTAGCATCGTGATAAATGATGGCAATGAATTATCCGTCGCAACCTCTCCAACATTGGCTGTGGATTCCTACATCTCACCCTCACCACCCTCGCAACTTGTCAATCTCTTGTATCACGGCAACACATGGGTGTCAATAACGAGTGCCCTACAACAATCTCCATGGCAACTACAACATTTGTCCAACTTTCTCCCACTGGTGCTGGCGAACCTTCTCACGCTGCAACAAAATCCGAGATTGGAAGCATCGATATGTCGAGCGGTGGAAGCGTTACCTCAGCCCTGGTGCATTATTCCGTTCGTGTGCATGCAAAGAGTGTCAACCCAACCACTCCAAGCGAGATTACTTTCTATGCTTCTACCTCCAGCCAAATTTCCTCCACCTCTCGTTTCTCAGCGATCATTCCACTGCGTGGATCAACCGGTGTGCTCGTTACCAACACTGTCGATATCTTTGTCCCTCACACTTACTACAGTGGATCCTCACCTACGCGAAATCATCAACTCTTCTGTCTCACAATCCCTTACAGTTCTTTTTATTCTCGTGATATTGATATTTCCATCACCGGCGGGATTGTTGTTGCTAACCCCTTGATTGATCAAGTTCTCTACGGCAACATGTTACAGCCAATGAATAACGGTAGACTGTACTGTCCTGCCCCATTCTCTGAGCAAGTTCCTTTCCTTCTCGCTCGTTATCATTCTCATCGTATCGAATGGGCTGTAGCAAATAATCCTGGAAAGGTTTACGGTGTTGACTGTGAGTATCAAATTGCCACAGGATTATTCCCGGATGTTGTGAAAGGCAACTTCATCATTGATCAAACTCAACATCGGTTCTCCACCACCTGCCGGGATTACATTCCTTCCTCACGGTGGTTACTACATCTATCAACAAGCTGATTCAGCGATCCCTACACAGGTTCTCGGTTGGCCAGCGAACATACAACCCTTCACCTACATGACCATACAGTACGTGCCAAATGCGGATGGTTCAAAGCCATACACAGTGATAACATAGATCCTTGGATGTGTGAAAAATAATAATAATTAATAAAAGTTGATTAACAGGGTTAAAACGGTTATTATTGGTATGTTTTATCACTTTCATCATCACCAACATCTCGAAAAACTACCTCGAATTCCGCGCACCCCCTTTTTCGGCCATCGAAATCCTCGTACAAAGTGACCACTCTTCGTATGAAGAGGGATTCGACTTTTTGTAAATTCCTGTATCGACTACACAACCCCCAAACAACGTCAACTGTTTCGTTTTCCGTTTCTTGGGCGGTGGTGAAGACGACATTTTCACAGCTAACCTGTCACTTTGCCATGGCCATGCGGTTCACAACTTCCTCAACTTCTCTCTCGACAAAGCACAAACTTCAGGCACGGCCAGTCAAAATTCACGTTTTACATGAAAAGATCAGGGCGCTGGCGCGCTAGCGCTACTCGTGCAGTACAACTCATCGTACAAAAAGCGTTCAAAGTGCAACTCATCGTGTACCGGTGTAGCCAAAGCGGCTACGCTCGGGCTTGAATTTTTTCAAATCCTTGTTCAGACAGTGAAGTTTTGTGGAGTTCGTCCGTGTTTACTGCCTCTACGTCTTGAAAAAGGTCTCCTGCAGGCATCGTTCGGCCGATTTCCACAATCAATAGCTCATTCTTTTGCTCTTGAAATTCGCCATGGGCGTACAGCTTCCAATTTTTGATTTTGTTCTTCTGTCGCGAGTTTTAGCTCCGCGAACGGAAGCTGGTTTCACATTTCTTGTATAGCCATTTAGACGTCCGCGTGCAGGGATCGGCGAAACTTCAGATATTTACATCGATATTATTCTGATGCTCGAAAAGACGCACATGGCTCAAACCCTCTCCCCCCCCCCCCCCAGACGCACCAATATCGTCTCTAAAAAAACACCGATATTTACGGACGGCCCCTTATGGGGCCTGCGGCGCGATGAAAAGTACTATATATCCCCTACAGTTGGGGAAAAAAGTACTATATATCAGGAATTTTATATCGTTGTCGGCTATCCCAGCGGCTTTGATCGGTCCACTTGTGTTGTAGATAATTTTGGCCGAGGGAGTTGGCCCTACTAATATTGGAAAGGCTTCCTGTCTGAAGCCTTTCCATACTGTACTGGTACTCATTTTTTCAGTTTTGTGACACGAGAATGGCACGAGAATTAGTGTACCGCTGAGTGTACCGCTATACACTTGGTCGACACGTTGTTGATACTTTTTTGACACGTGACCCCGTCAACGGTCACTCCGTAAACGCCAATGTCGCGTACGACAAAGGCGACTATCCCATACGCGAAAGAGTTGAGAACTGCATGACGTTGACCTGACGGCAAGGACAACTGCGAGGAGGTCCCTTTCGGTACCCCTGAGGGGAAGGAGAACTACAGAAGTCGACGAAGTCGAACGAGTTGGCCCTACTAATATTGGAAAGGCTTCCTGTCTAAAGCCTTTCCATACTGTAC